GAGCTGTGCGGCAAAAAGCTTTTACGCCATTACATTATTTAAGCAGCCAGATGAACTGAAACATTTTAAGCCATAACTGAAAAATAGAAATAAGCAACGGACAAAACACGAGAAAGGATAAAGTCTACTTAAATACCGCAAATCCTCTTCAGGTGCCGGCACAGATCTAAAAAGCGCGGCTTGAATGAAGATAAATATGCCGCAGCTGCACAAATTGTGGCCAAAGTGCAGCTAGCCAGCCAGCTAGGTGTCAACTACACAAATTTTGTAGAGCTAATTGCACTGCAGTGAATACTCTAACTGGCGGAGCTTACGGCATGGGGTCGCAAATGGATTTTGGATGTCAGTCAAGAACAAAAGGCTTAAAATCCAAAGAGGACCTGAAACGGTACGCTGCACAAACTCACGTAGTGCTGGGCACGCAGCATCCGGTGTTGATTACCCGGACTCGTGCCCGTGTCCGTGTCCGTCTATCTCTGCCAGACTGCCTAGAGCTCCCACGCAAGTTCCGGGGCAATAGCAATCCAGAGGCCAAAAGATATGATATTGATTCTGTCGAGGGAAATCAGTGAGTAGAGCAGCTACTGGGCGTGGTCGTACACGCACGAGCCTACGGACTGTCAACTTTATTTACTAATGAACCAGCGTCGCGTTTCGGGCTGTTCCATCAAAAATTTCAGCGAAATCTCGCCAGTTTAAGAGCTCATTAACATTACGGAGCTTAGCTCTACAAAATCATAATCTTGCGCATCGTGGGCGAAACTGTGCTTGGGAACACGCTGCGATTGACATTTATTTGGTTTAATTTATTAAGTCAGCTCTCTTTGCGACTTGGCCATGACCAGAACCGAAGCAGGCCTAATTTGTATGCGTCGGCAGCGCTGCTAATGTGCGGCCATCATTTAGATCAATAGCAAGACGAACAAGGCTTATATAGATACAGTTTCATTTGTGTGCATACACACACACATACATATGTACATATAAGTATATATGTATGTATATGTTTACTGGAATACACATATTTTTCTTCTGGCCTGCGAGGGTGTCTTTTCTCTGCACATCAATCTGGCGCAGCTTGGAATTTTTGTAATTTTATTTATGCTGATTCCAATGTGCGTCGTACGAATCTCAATTTGCTAGATGTTTAATTGAGATACTTTTTATACACAGCTGGACTCTAAGCCAGCCGGCAGAGGGATCCATCTAATGAAAGTTTAGATACGCTTTCATTTGACTAACGATAAATGACTTTGACATGCCTAAAGCTTGTTCGCAACATAATAAAAGAGTCTAGCCTAGCTGCCGTTGATGTATAGGTACGACATCATCATCCAGTAATGCAATGGTATATTTATTTGATCCTCTTTAAATGTATTTCTACACACGCCGAGGAGATATATGAACAACATATTTTGGCTACGGAAATAAATATTTAACATGAGATATATTCGAAATTCAATTGAGATGTATATCAAAAAAGACACCTCCAATTTTGACACATAGTATAATCTACTTAAACCTATTTTCTAAATAATATCAGTTCATCCCAGTGTGTAAATACTGCTCACTTTTATGCTTTCAACTCGACTTCACTCAATGGGATTTTATATAATACCACAGCAATATCAAATTTCCAGTTTGACTTTAGATACTATTCCCATACGTATGCCGTCCCTGTGTGAGCCAAATCGCATTCCCTCTTTATAATATATCCCTTACATATTACACACTTTATAAGTGATGCGTAATACCCTTCAATTAGTTCATAAGCAGACAGATTTTCGCAGGGAAAAGCTTTCTCATTAATTGCAATGTTATCTCAGGCAAATGCCGTAAACAGATTACAAAGCATGTGCAAGTTTATAAGTAAAAAAAACAAGAAAACCGAGAGAAGTTTTGGTAAAAATGCGGCCTTCGCCCCAAATGTGATTGACAGCGGTTGCGGCTTAGCCAACTGAGGCGTAAAACATTTCCTTCTCTCCTCCCGCACCTCTCTCTCTCTCCCTCTCTCTGTCTGTCTATCTCTTTCTATCAGTATCTCCTCTGGTCCAGTCTAAAGCGGACCAACATCAATTTTAATAATGCCCTGGAAATTATTTTATTTATTTGTTTCAACGCCAAGGCCAACCCAGAAGCCGCCGCGGGTAATCCGAAAGGCTGCCAAATCTTTTACTTTCAAATATTAAAATCTACGACGTAATTGAAATATGGAACTATCACACAGTAGTAAGTAGGACTATGTAGGATATGATAGACTTCAAATGAAAGTGCTGCGAATCGCTCAATATTGCTTAAAATTCATAATATTTCGGACTCCTTATTGCTCTTCAAAAATGTCAGCAGCAATTTGAAACATACATATTTCAAGCCAAAACACCTATCAAAACTTATCGATTTCAAGCTATGCATTTAAATTTAGATTCCTAGTTTCATTATAGTTTTAAGTTGGTATTTTTGTTCTATAATGGAACTACCAAAATAACAAATTTTGAGCAAAGGGAAAAATGGAATGGAGCTAACAGAACTCTTAGATTTTATTTAAGATCTCAATAAACTAATAATTTAGTCAATTTAATCGAGTCAATGAATTTAATATCAACTTATAATATTTTTACCAAAAGAAATAATTTCGGTAAATCCAAACTAAATTTTTTTTCATCATATATTAATGGAGCTCGAAGCTTTGATCAGATTATTCAATAAAGTTTACAGGGCAAATTTGGCCGCTAATTACGTTATGTATTGCAATTAAAAAACAAGATTAGATTATTATAGATAAGACTGCACTTTATACCCTCACGCAGCTTGAATAAAACCAGTTGACCTAGGACATACGTCAGCTCCCAGATTGAAGCCAGCTGACTTACAATAAATATTGAACCAACTGTTAGAGATACAATTTTGCTGATTTTATTATGGAACACATTTGAGATATTCCACAAGCACAAGAGGCATACAAATTGACTACAGTGTGTGGCTAGCATTGTAAGAGATCGATTTCTCGTTTTCTCATCGAGTAACTTGAATATCGATGAGAATTTTCTGTGTTTCAGGTATAGCAGTCAACAATTCGGTGTCTGCCGCAATAGTTGCAACTCCAATTAGCCGAATTACTGTTAGTTGTTGTAGCTGCTGATGTTGTTGTTGCTGCTTTAGTCATTGGCTTACTCGTACGCCCGCCAGGTGCGTCGGCCACAATCTCTCAAGCCTGGCTGCGCAGCGGCAGCTGGTTAATGTGGCAACGGGTGTGTGGCTCGGAGAGGGTTACAGCTGGCGCTAATCGGGGCACAAATACCATTTAAATGCCATAACAATAGCATGTAAGCCTGGGCTGACTACGCCCCCAAGTGACACGCCCCAACAACGTGAACGCAGGTGCTTGCTCGTTGTTCTCGCACTGCTTGCTGTGCGCTGCCAATTAAATGCACACTTTAACCGCAAAATTGCAATCCAGCCATGAATTAAGGTGTGTGTGCTTGTGTAACGGGAGGACTATCTCTCTCTCTCTCTCTCTCCCTCACTCACACACACTAAAAAGTCACGTTGACCGCAAAAAGTACGCAAAATGACAGCAAACAGCTCGTAACTCAAAATATCTATGCAAATTGCGTACAAAATGTTTGCGCAACAGTTTTCAGCCCTCTAGAAAGTCCGCCCCTCTATAAAAAAAAAAAAAAAGTAATTGCATTTTATTGCAATGCAAGAAGCGAAAACTCTCATATCAATATATATACAATGTTATATACATATATACAATATTATACGCTTGTAGGCCACTTGTGACTGGCTTAGACTACTCCACACACACATATACACACACATACACACACACTCGCTCATAGCTGAAATTGTATTTCTTGTGATTTGCATATGCTTCACATATAGTTAGATACTGTTATTGTATCTAACAGATTTCGTTTGCTCAGCCAGAATGTGCTGACAATGCAAATGCCACTTGGAACACTTGGAATCTAAATGAAATATGTGCACAGCAAATTCGTATATAGGTATGCATAAGTGATAGTTAATATAATCCGATTCTGCACGGCATAAACTACTTTTCATTCATTTTCATTGGCAATTTCATTAGCATAGATGCTCCAATGAATGCAATTATTCTGTTACGATTAAAAGTTACGATTTAAAGCGTGCAAATAGAAATGAAATCAAAATATTTAGCAGAGATACAAAGAATTTTGTTTTATGAGGAAAGAGTTTCAAGTTCATTTCAGCTTTCACACTTGGCTATCTAAACAAAAGACGATGACTAATGACTACAATATTTGAAGTTTCACAGCCCGCTTTACTGATGCAGCAATCCATCAATCAATCAATAGCACCTTACACACACACATATATATATCTAATATAAAGTTCAGCTCATTAGGATTGTAAAGTCAAGCTATGTATATAAGTTGAATGCAGTTTATTTAACATTTACATTAGACTGCAAAGAAAAAGTAATCAACATTAAATAAATATATATTTAAGTAATTAAGTACTGTAAGTACTATAGTATTAGTAGTACTATAAGTATTAGAGAATATTATTATTATTAAGGAATCTATATTAACAGTTATCTTAAATTATATATTTATATATCAATTTTAGAGTAGGACCAAACACTACATCCACTTTGAAATTAAACCTAGCTTAGAAAATCCCAAGCTCTGCTATCCTAGCTACACAAAACACAACTATTTCCCACTACTTCCCTGAGCTCCGTTGGAGCAYATATCCCAAAATGTTTTTTTTTTTTTTTTAACATAAATTAGCGGAAAAAAACAACGAAAACATGCGCAAATTATATGAAACAAGAGAAAATCCATATAAATAATAGAAGAAAAGTATAACAAGCTCCACATAAAATAGTAAAAATAATAAATATAAATTCAGAAAATGCAATATCAATCAATCAAAAAAAAAAAAAAAAAAAAAAAAAAAAAATGGAAGAAAAAAATCGAATAATACATAAACAATATTGTACAATAATTTAGCGCGGATGAGGGATTCGATGGCACGTATCACACCAACATTGTGGTCAAACATAACGGCAGTTGTCTGTACGTGCCCCCTGGTATCTTCAAGAGCACATGCAAGATAGACATCACGTGGTTCCCATTTGATGACCAACATTGCGAAATGAAATTCGGTAGTTGGACTTACGATGGAAATCAGGTAAAGTGTTTAGTACACAGTTACAGTGCAGCTACAGCACACACTCAAAGCGCTCAACAGTAGAGTGCCTGCTACAGTGAACTCTGGCTGTAGAGCACAGCTTTAACACCAAGACATCACTACACTACTTCACAATCACGCTTTTTGCTAAGACACACACACACACACACACACACACACTTACTCACATACACTTACATTAACACACGCACAATTAAAAAGGAACACGTGCACGTGCACAGCAAGAAAGTCGGATAAAGACAGAACGTAGGCAGATATAGGCAGACAGAGGGAGTTATTGACTATGTAGAGTATTTAGGCTCAGGTTCTACGTCCTGGCTGGAAAAGGAAACCGAAAGAGTCCTTTGGCAGATGCTGCTTTTGTTTATGCTTTTCCAAAACTCTATCTCTGTCTCTCTCTTTTTCTATCGCTCTCTCTTTTTATATCAAACTATCTTCCCGTTTATTTTATAAATCAATACCTTTCTCTCTTTTTGAATCGTCACGTCGAACAGTTCTTTGCGTTTTTGCGAATTACAAAACCAAAAAATCAAATGTGCTTAGGCACCCGAAAACAAAAACTTTTAAACGTGTTGGCTAAAATGTTCAATCAAAAATTGAACATTTTTGCCGAGCACTTAAGAAAAAAAATACCAAAGCTCAATGGGGAAACGCAGGATTAAAGTATAACAGTGTGCGTTTACAGCACTGTCATAATAAAAGCGGAATCATGTGTGAGACCCTCGAAATTTTTCGCCCCTGTTTCAAAAACACTGAAAAATTTCAGTTTCAACTATTTTGCATGTTAGCAGACCAAAAACCACGCCCAAACAATTGAATTCGAACAGTTTTGGACGTACGTAAAGACTCTTAATGGAAGTCAAACAATATACAAGGATTTCAGTACAATTTAATTTTATTTCCACGTTTTTTTGCACTAAAAACGCAATAGCAAAATAAAGAATAAATAACATTAAAAACTGTATGTATAAAAAGTAAAGCTCTCTCTCTTTTGCTCGCTGTATCTCTCTCTCTCTTGTACACCTTGAACACATGCTCTCTCTGTACATAAATGTTGTTTCAACGTGGCTTTAAGCAAAATTCTCTTACATAATTACTAAAAATGTTAAATTTCTTTTTCTCCAAACAACTAAAAATAACGAAAAAAAAACTCAAAACAATACCCAACCAAAAAATCTCAAAAAATAACTTGAATACAACAAAAAATTCGTTTGTCAACAAAAAATATGTCAAATAAATTTTTTGAAAAATATCAGTTGGATTTGGTTTTGAATTCCGAAGATGGAGGGGATCTTTCCGATTTCATAACAAATGGCGAGTGGTACTTGCTTGGTTAGTAAAAATCATCTAAATCCTAATGCTTATTTCACTAACTGTTTTCTAAACGTTGTCATGTGTAAATGTCTAAAGAAAAATCAAATCATTAACCCAAAACCCAATCACTTATATATCCTTATAATTTCCGATATAATTTTGTACATAGATATATGTATATATTTACGATATTAAGTAGACTTATTTCGCCTGGCGCTTTCTCAAAATTGCTTATTAGAAACATTTTCAGTTGCTGCTACTTAAATTGCAAAAAAATGAAAAAAAAAAAAAAAAAAAAAAAAAAAAAAAAAACAATAACATTTTCCGTTTGTAAATTGTATGTATATTTATAATGACTAAGACAAATATGGAATTATTCGTGTACATATGTATGTGTATTTGTGNCTGCAGTGCGTTGATGAAGAAGTGCGTCCTCTGCCGCACCCAAATCGATGAAATGCTCTCATATACGCACTGCTGCGGCGGTGCGGGTCCAGTCGAAAAGGTTTATGTGGCCGGCACAGTCTGCTTGACCGCGCCCGAGGAGAAGCTTCTGGAGCCGGCGTGTGTGAACACCTCTGGCCATAGCGTGGCCATGAACAACACGGTGGTCACTCCAGTGGCTGGCAGCAGCAATCAGTTGAATAGCCAGAATAACATATTAAATGCTGCAGCAGCTGCAAATCTCTCGAATTTACCAACGGGCATGGCCGCACCTGCTGCAGGCGCTGTTAACAATTTCCAAATGGACGATGTGCAAAAGCTGAAGCAACAGCTACAAGACATAAAGGAGCAGGTGAGTCAATTACTTACATATTCTCATTATCATTATATTAATGACAAATATATGCTTGCAGACCATGTGCCCCGTTTGCTTTGACCGGATTAAGAATATGGTCTTTCTCTGTGGCCATGGYACCTGYCAGATGTGCGGCGATCAAATCGAAGGATGCCCCATTTGTCGCAAAACGGTGGAGAAACGCATTCTGCTATTCTGAAGCACAATATATTGATATCCATTATTAATGGCACACATTCCGCGCACAGTCCCCGGGCACATTAGCGTGCGAATCGGCCTTAAATTAAGTATTATTTAGATGAAATGTACACTCGAATACATTATACTCATTTTCTCGAAAATATCGTCTTATAAAGCGAAATAAAATATAAATATATATTTTTAAATACTATTTCTTACTTTTTGTCTTTACAATTTGTTCCCTCATTTAGTTTATAATTTTTAATTTTCATATACGGTATTTATTGTATCTCTTGTTCCAGGCGTAACTATACTACTCTCATTAACAGTATTTCTAAACCTTGTTGCCGAGTCAATGCCGACAACGTCGGATGCTGTTCCTCTTATAGGTACACAAACACGCTATTTATTTAACAATTAATTTAAAAAGAAAAAAATGATAACAAAAAACTTACATATCCGGTCCAAATGCTATTTTTAGTTGTCATTAGATTAACTACTGTAGTGCAATGAAAACAACAAAACAATACAAGAACAAAAAGAAAACTACAATAACAATTCAGAAATATGCAACAAAAAATACCAATTATTTAGATCACATACACACACATACACACTGAATCGTATGGCGAATGATAACTGCTCTATATATATCCACATCTTAATTATGTACGTTTGTGTTTGCTAATAGATAAAACTCTCCACTTCTGGACTTTTAACTCAGTTTCAGCCAGCTAAAACTTCTCTTTTTACTGGAACTTTTGGATAAACCTTTGCAATAGCCTCCAAAAGAAATAACAGAAAACAAACCACAAGCAGCACACCTAATACAAAATATCGAAATATTGAAATAAAAAAAAATACACCTCAAAATACAAAAACCCGTCTGTCTCTCTAACTGTCTGTAACCGTAAAGTAAATAAGAATAATGCAGCTGAAGCAAGTTTTCTTCAATTTCTATTTACTCTCTCTCTCTCTCTTTCGCTCTCACTTTCCCTCGTTCTGTCTAACTTTAGCTGAGCTCTCTTACAAGAAATATATTTTAATTATCTTAATTGTAAACTTTGAACTTAATCTTAACTATTTTTATTACGTACTTTCACAACCCTTTGCTCAGCTGACCTAAAAAGTAGTCTAAAACATACATATATCGCGCGTCAAAAGCTCTGACATAATTGGTATTTCACAACACTGAAACATAACCCAAACACGGCTCACGAATCACGTAACACGACTCACGTAACACGAATCACGTAACACAAATCACGAAACACGAATCACTTAAAACGAATCACATTAATGTCACTATCAAATCACAATGATAAGTTTTTACGTTTCACCATTTATATTTTGCTGTTTGATCAAAAACAAAAGAAAATGCGTATGTTGAACCCGTTTTCCACTTAGTTTCCTTCGTTTTGTGTTGTTTCTGTCGGTACGTTTCTTTTTCTCTACGTGTTTGCCGCTAGCTGAATATAAATCCTTGATTTCATATATACTATATCATTTTGTACAACTCTTCAGTTAATTTCTATGTTATGTTAGCCTGTTAAAAATCGTTAAAAATAAAGCAAAACTAACAACAAAAATAAATTAAAACAAAGCTAATACGTTCATTATGTATATAAGCTTCTCTTTATGAGTAGTGGATCATACTTTAAAATATCTCATTGGGCAGATCATAGTTAATTGCCTGATCAAATGAAACCATCTAACAAATTAGCAGCAGTAGACGCTATATACTCGTTAAATGTATACTAAATATACTGCTAAACTGTACATAAAAAACTTAGACAAATATGTGAACAAATCCAACGAACAACCTTTTTTCGCTACCAAAAATATATATATTCAACAAAGCCAACAACAAACAGTCAGATAAAACATGAATGAACATTGATCCGAAACTAAATAAAATTTCAGGAGATCTCCATTTTAATATACTATCAAGAGTCAAGGTTACTAAAAGAGGACAACAGTTATTCATTTTTAAAAACAATAATATAAAATAAATACAAAAATTTCAATACCGTTGAACTTTTGAGTTTCACTATTTATACTGTGTCTATTTTACTGGCCTCAACTGTGATAGTCCATTAAAAGCATTGAAATCTGCAACAAAAAAAGACAAATAAAAATCTATTCGCAGCCCAGCTATTCATTTAGCCTGAAAATATGTAAAGAACTATAGATTTAGCTATCAATATATGTGTATATACACATACATATACATATACATACATATATTTATGATTTTGTATGCATTGAACAACAATACCAACAACAACAGCCACAAAACCAATCAATTATTAAAAACAGGCAAAAAGAAAATATTAAAAAAAAAAAAAAACGAGAACACTCAATATAAATATTTATATATTGATCAAGGTTTGTATTGGAGAAGACATGAAATGTCATTTTGATACTTGGTCAAGTAGAGAGGAATATATTAAGGCAAACTCCATATCTCTATATATACTTATATACATATATATATAAATATCTGATAAAACACACATTATGTGTATATATATCAAATAGGCTAAGCCAAACACACACACAAGAAATTTGTATGCTTTGTAGTTCTATTTTGGTAGGTATACGATATGAGAGTATTATTTTCAACTACTTTTAAGCCGGGCGATAGACCAATTGCCTAACAAATACACACAACTGTAAATAATACAGACACACAGATACAGACACGTAACCACAGACACACACCTGAACCGACGTAAGTACAACAAAACAATAGCAACAGCTGCAGAGCTCTATGCGACTTTCAATAACTGGCATGCAAACCAGGCTAAGAAAATCTTTAAGCGTAGCTCAACCAACTCTTAGCCAACCATCAAAAGAAACACCCATTCATTAAAACACTCACTCTTTCTCTCTCACTCACTCTGCCGCTCCCGCTCCCACTTCCTGTCCCTTTGAACTCTCAATCACTCAGTCACACTCTTGCTCTCTCTCTCCCTCTCTATGCATCCCTATATGACAGTCACGCTCTATCACTCTCTCTCCCTATCTCGCTCTCTCTTTCTCTCGCAAACTATTTCGATTTGGCAAGAACTCTTCGTACTTGCACCATAAGCAAAGAACACAAATTACCCGCCCAAAAACCAAATTAAAGTAAAACTATTTACAATCTAATCAAAAACTAATTATATATATACGCTATGTATATAATCTTAAAATTCTCCCGACTTACGCACCTGTAAATTCCCGACAGTAATAACCCCGTCCACCCTCAAACGCTAAACAAACTCTATTTAAACCGAAAAACTCTAAAATATTCAAAGCGCAGATCCATTTGACCAGATGGTAGACTTGCAACTCCACATAATATCGTATCGCTCACCAGGCGCGTTCCATATTATGCCATATATATTTAACAAATATATATATATATATAAATATCTATATATGTTGCATTGTCAAATATATATATACATATATATATTAATGACGTCGTTTCTTATTTGCTCATACTATTATGTTGCTATCTCTTACAAAACAAATTCCACTCCGTCTTTTTCTCTCGCTCTTCAATATTTTTCGTTTGCTTTTTTAATCCAGCTTAAAAAAGTCAAATAAATCTTTTTTCGGTACTCATACCAATGAAAAGTGCTGCGGCACAGAATTCCCCGAAAAGTACATTATAAAAACAATAAAAAACGATATCCAGAAAATCCTTAAATTGAACTACGTCAAAACGAACAAGAACTTTTTAAATGCTATCGTTATCTACTTACCAAATCATTTCTAATTTGTAAATTCCCAACTGAACATCCTCTTTAAAATTTTCTTTGCCATTGGTACATGGCTTGTACTATATTATCCAAAACAAATATATGTATTCTATTTTATAATGGCTATCATACAGCACATATGAAAAGTCGTTAAAGCTGCGCCAATATTTCCTATTCACTTCAATATAAATATGCATACTCAATTTTATTCTGAATCAAATTTGGTGTTGTTTCCACTTTTTGACCTAGCAATAGAACATGGAAATACTACTTAAGAGTACTTTTAAATACATTCTATTTATAAAAATATTTTCCATCTTTTTAACCTGAACTCCAATTAGTATTTGGTCGTCCCCTTTTTCGAACTATATATATCTAATTCACAAAATCTTCCAAATATTCTACTCTTAGCATTTATTTTACAAAACAATAACAATTTGAAAACTATTTACAAATAATATTTATAATCTACTCAACTGAATTATGGTTAATATTTTCTTTTAAGAAAACAATAGAATCTCATATTCTACTCTCACATCTCCAAAGTTATTTGCAAAAGTTTATCTCTACCCTTCAGCTCTATATGAAACCCATTCAAAAAGGTTCTATTGCGTTCAAAAAGAAGCACATCTCAAAAATACAATAACTTTGTCTTGTAATTATTCAGAAAACCAATTTAAAATATTTCATTAAACTTTCGAATGATATTACAAAAGATACTTATGAGACAGATTTCAATACAAGTGCATTTGGGAAAATACTTGTGAAATAATGTGAAAATATTTGAAATACTTTTTTTAAAAAATGCCGATCATTTTTTAATGCATATTATCGTCGTCATACATATTAAAGAAAAACAAAAATAGGTCAACGATCGATGAAGATGAAAGAAAGACAGATATTTTATTCTTTAAAGTATTATTTTTACAGTTCCAATAAGCTTTAATTTGTAATTAATTCATATTTGAGTTCTCTCGCTTTCACATATTGCTCTCACACGCCCACTCACGTTTGTTTGATTGTGTTTTCCTTGTAAAGCATCACCATATGATATATGTATATATTTAACCCTTCCAACGAGGAGCCCGCGTTGAGCCAAACATAATTTGCATGCAGTGCGCAAATTTCTTCTGTCTTCATTTTTGTTTCTAGTCAAGAAGCGGCCATTGGTCGGACATTTAGCCGGGACTGCACGTTCCAAATTAAATGAGGCGCACGCTGCATGCTGGTGTGTGGGCGTGGCAAATTGGCGACACGTACCGCTAAGCTCATTGCCAGCGACAAGGCATAGTTCGAGCGACAAGCTTCAGTTCAATTTAGAAATTTTACTCATTTAAGGAACAGCTAAAACTTGCCGTTAACTTTTCAACCGCCCCTCGGACACCCCACTTGACGCCCAATAATGGGCAAATGTTGGAAGGATGTGCACCTTATACCACCA